GTGAAAATAACTGATAAGGTCTTAATGGAAATAACAGATTTATTTCCTTCACAAAAGCAGATAACATTTGTGGAGGGATAGGTAGTGCTTAGGCACTTATAATACCCTGAAGCTGCTTACAAGGAAAGGAAAATAAATCATTTTGGTATACTGACAATGTCCAGTGTTCTTACTAACCAAGTCAGCACACAGAAAGACTTCACAGAACAGGGACAAAGCCCAAGTCCACTTCACGAGTTAAACTGGGCAGAAGTCCTAGAATTCTGCCATCGCGCCTCCAGTCTACGTGGCTCGCCATAACCAGTCGTATAACATGGGCACAACCGCTTGAGCTTCTCTCTCCAAGTTCAAAACCCTTTCCCAGCCTCCTAGCACTGACACGCTTCCAGGAAAGCGTCCTCCTGACACTGCCAATCAGAAAATCTGTTTGTTTCTGTAAAAGAAACAAGAAATTGGTCATGGATGCAAAGTCCAGAACCACAGGGGCAACTGACCCATAAACCTGTTTCTGGGAGCCAGCACTGGGGAGAGAGCAGGGTCAGATCCAATCTGAAGACCATGAAATGCTCTATCTAGTTTGGTCCACCTTGGCATTTTCCCAGGTAGGTAACATATTACCCCTACAACAAGGGGGCACACTTGGCAGCCACCATTTCAATATCTGCCGCAGCTGTTGATCTTGGAAAACACTATTACCTTTCTCTTCCCTCCAAGGGAAAACTGAGAAACGCCCAGCTGTGTTCCTAGAACCACTGACAAAACTGGCTCCTCAACACATGCTGGCTTATTAGTTCCAAGTAGCAGATAACCTGACTGGATTCCTAACCCACGGAGGTAAGAAAATTAGCCAATCAACTATGATAGCTCTTAAGTGATGTATAGACCTCAAGACTTGGGCCACAGGTATGACCTCTGAGCTGACATCTGGCACGGGGCAGGAAGGAAGAAACAAGCAATGATCCAGACTGAACAGCAGGCAGGAAGTGCCCCTCAGCACCTCAAGGTCTTCAGAGGCCCTAAAAGGCCTTCGAGGGTGCTCTAGAATGATCATAGCCACTTTAGGGCGTCCCCAGCCACGTATAACAGCAACCCTTCACTGTGCATGAGATATTTACCAAATGTCTCTGATCATATTAACTTGTTTAATACAATTAATCTTAATCTCTTAATCTATCTTAGAAAAACAGTACTCTGAACTCTAGCCCTAAAAGAATTATAAATCCTCACTCACTGTATTTTCTTTCTAATTGGGCTATTTAAGCTTTATCTGTAAAACTATTTTAAAAACTATACACAAATTTCTAAAGCAGCTAAGTTATTTATAATATATGCCATAAAATAAGAACATACCAGGGGCCAGGATATAGCTCAGCGGCACAAGCGCCTGCCTGGCAAGCGCAAGGTCCTGAGTTCAATTTCTAGTACCAAAAAAAAAAAGTTACAGCAAAATAAGAACACATCACCTAGTAGCAGCATCAGCCCTGCTAACTAACTAAAAATTGCTTTCTCTATACTTAATTCTTGGCTAACATTTCCAAAGGTTTTTTCTATTGAGTGAAATGTGCTCCTTTATAGAAAACACAGTTTAGACAATTTAGGCCCCTGTTCAGTAAAGTAAAAAGGAACTTTTTGCCAGATCTTCTCCCATATTTTTCAGGAAAGGAGGAAAATTTTTGTTTATTAATTATTCAATTTTCAGAAGTCTAAATTTCATTAAGTTTTGGTCTGAGATCCGTCACTGGACAACAGTACTAAGGGTTACACTACAAGCACTCTTTACAGTCAACACAGGAAAACTCTTGGCAGTTTCCCTTTATTTTTCCCCCAGCACTTTTTATTCGCACAGTTTTTAATATATAGTAAACACATTCATTGTGGAGGGAATTGGTACACATACCTACTGCATCTTTTTTGTTTGTTTGTTTATTTTTTGGAGACAAGGTCTCACTATGTAGTGCAGGCTAGCCTTGAACTCACAGCAATCCTCCTACCTGAGCCTCTCTAGTGCTGGGAGTACAGGCATGCGCCACCATGCCCAGCCACCTACTGCATCTTGATCCTTTTTCCTTCCCCTTTCTCTCTCATCTTTCCCTTCCCATACTTTCAAAGAAGTAACTCTTTGATTCATTGATCATTTTCACTGTTTTTTTACTCTCAATTTCATTAATTCCCACTCTGTCTTCTTGGTTTCACATTTGGAATGTTCTTATCTTCCTAGTATATTAAGGTGTATTATTATGTTATTTGGGATTTTGTTTATTTGTTTGTTTTGTTTTGAGACACAGTCTTACTACATATTCCAGGATGACCTTGACCTCATATGTAGCCAAGGCTGGCCTCAACCTCAGGCAGTCATTCTGCCTCAGCCTCCTGAATGTTGAGATTATAGACAGGCCTTACCTATGCTCTATTCTTTTTATGTGTACGTTTATAACTGTAACCTTCCCTCTTAGATGTGCTTGCATTATGTCCCATGGTTTCTGGCATAGTACGCTTCCACTGTCACTGAGTCTAGGAATTTTTTCTTCCCTGATTTCTTTTGTGAACCACTGGTTGATTATTCAATATCTTCATGTGATTTCACAGTTTCTGTGGTGTTTTGTTTTTGGTTTTGGTTTTGGTTTTTTTTTGCTGTTGATTTTTAGCTTCATTCCATTATGACTGAATAGTATGCAGGAGATTATTTCAATTCTTTTGTATCCATTTAAGTATACTTTATAGCCTAAAATATTGTCTGTTTTAGAAAAAGTTCTGCCTGCTGTTGACAAAATGTAAATTCTGTTGTTGCTGGATAAAACGTTTTATGTATCCATTCAGTCCATTTGTTCAATGGTGTGGTTTATGTTTCTTTGCTGACTGACCTGTCCAGTTGTGAGAGTAGGGTATCGAAATCCCCTACTATGATAGCGTTGGTGCCTGTCTTTTCATTTTGTTTTGTTTTGTTGAGATAGGCTCTTGCCATGCAGCCCAAGCTGGCCTCAAACTCATGGCAATCCCCCTCCCTCAGCCTCCTCCTCCCTGAGACAGGGATTATAGGTATGTACCACCATGCCCAGCTCTTTTCTTTTTAAGTCCAGTAGTTTTTGTTTTATGAGATTGGGTACACCAACATTTGGTGCATAGATATTTACAACTGTTATCTCATCCTATGGAATTGTTCCCTTCACCAGTATATAGTGGTCATCTTTGTCTCTTCTAATCAGTTTTGGTTTGAAGTCTGCCGTGTGTGAAAATAAGACAGCCCCTCCTGCTTATGTGGAGCCTCCAGTTGAGTGGTGTGTGGTTTTTCCACGCTTTCCTCTGCAGTCTGCGTAATTCATTTTGGATGAAGTATGTCTCCTGGAGGCACAACAGGATATGGTTGCGTTTTGTCTTTTAATCCACTCTGCAAGTCTGCGTCTTCTGACTAGCGAGTTGAGACCACTGATACTGAAAATTATTATTGTAAGATGTTTTTGTTTTTGTTTTTTTTCCAGTACCAGGAATCAAACTCACGAACTTGCACTTGCCAGGCAGGCACTCTGCCACTGAGCTAAATTCCCAGCCCCTATTGTAAGATGTTTATCCAATGCTATCTATCATTGTATTAGTTTTCCAGTGCAGATTCCTTTACTTGTTTTCTTTAGTTTAACCACTCTCCCAGTTAGAATATACTTTCCTTCGGGCTCTTTGATACTGGTAGCTTCCCAGTCTCCGGGTAAGATTCAATAAACTGTTTTCTGCAATACTGGCTGAATGATCATGTATTAGTTTAGGATTCCTTTGTTGTGGAAAATCTTTCCTTCTCCATCAATTTTGAAGGCTAATTTTCACAATGTAAGAGTCTGGGCTGACAATTATTTTGTTTTAGGGCTTGAAAAACTTCACTCCAGTTTCTCCCAGCCATTATGGTTTGTGTTAAGAAATCTGCAGTTATTCTGATGGGGTTTTCCCTTTCAGTCTATATCTACCCTCCTTGAAAAACATATAGATGTTGAGACTTTCCTCCTTCATTCTCCCTCTCTCTCTCTCTCTTTCTCTCTCTCTCTCTCTCTCTCACACACACACACACACACACACACAACTTTTGTTCCTAAAGAAAGGAACAATATAGATCTGCATCGCAGCTCAATAAGGGTAATAAGAGTTAAAGTGACTTTGAGAATTCTAAACATGTAAATATGACATGGCAATTATATTCATGGGCCTTTCAGATTTTTTTTAAAAACAATATATGTAAATTGGCATGGTGGCATTGGGAGGCTCAGGCAGGAGGATTTCTACTAGTTCAAGACCAACGTGGGCTACACAGAGAGTTTAAGGCCAGCATGAACTATACAGCAAGACACCACCTCAAAAACAAAAAACACAAAATAAAAGAAAATAAAAATAAGCAAGGCATGGTAGTGTATACCTGTAATCCCAGAACTCAGGAGGCTGAGGCAGGAGTATCACCTCATATTCAAAGCCAGCCTAGGCTAAACAGTGTGTCCAGCCTGAACTATATAGTGAGACCCTGTCTCAAAAATAAATTTAACTAATTGATTTAAAAATAAAACAATGTAGGTATCACTTATTCACTCATATATACCTACAGTTGCTTTTGAATTATAAAGGAGAGTTGAGCAGATATGAAGTTGCATTATGGCCTGCAAAGCCTAAAATATTTACTACATGGTACTTTATAGGAAAAGTTCGTCTAAATCAAGCGTGGTGATGCATGCCTATAATCTCAGCCACTCAGGAGGCTGATGTAGGAGGACTACAAGGACTACAAGTTCAAGGCCAATCTGGCAAAACCCTGTCTCAAAATAAAAAGTAAAAAAGGCAGCAGATATAGCTCAGTGCTCCTGGGCTCAATCTCCAGTGCTAAAAAAAAAAAAAAAGGAAAGAAAGAAAGAAAAAAGAAAAGAGGAAGAAAAAAGGAGGAGAAAAGGAAAACAAGTCTATCCTTGTACTGTGTAATAAATCAGGTGCATTTTGACTTGGATGAGTAACCGTACCTAGATGTAAAGACTCACCTGTTATACTGTTTAAAACCTCCTTTAGATGACTGAAACTATGCAAGAGAGGGTCCCGTTCTTCATCCTATACAAAACATAGGTTAAAAAATAACATTATTGGGCCAAAAGAGGAAAAAGAAAACAAAGGTGTGGTATTTACATGCAATGGAGTACTACTCTATCATAAAAAGGATAAACCTGAATCACCTGTAGTAAAATAGATGCAGTCTGAGACCATAATGGTAAGTGAAATAAATCCAACACACAAGCTCAAGTACTGCACCATTTCCCTTATATGAGAACCCAAAATATAAAAAAGAAGCAAGGTAAAAGATAGGCCATAGGGAAACAGATTTTTGGCAAAGGTGAAGGGGACCAAAAGATGGAAGGAGTGAGGAGGGAGAGGTGGAAGACTAAAAAAATTAATTACATGTACCAACTTCCCCCAAGGAACATAGTCATTATGTGATACAAACAGACTAATAAAAAAAACTAGAAAGCATGAAGAAAATAAAGGATAGATCAAGGGGTTTTCCCTGGGTCGAATCAGATTGTGTTTCTTCTGCAAGAAAGAAATCTAGCCATAGTTCATACTTTCCTGTTTCTTAAACTCTTATTTCACAGAGATACTCTGGGCTTACCCAAAATAATGAACCCTAAACTGCTAATGTATGCCATCACTGTAACACTTCAGCTGCTACAGACTGTGGTCCTTTTATGCGTGTTACTCTGTCCCCTCCTCTCTTCAGGTTCATTATGTGATCACACACTCATTTCTTTTTTTTTTTTTTTTTTTGGGTTTTTTTTTTCTGGCACCAGGAGTCGAACTCACGACCTCACGCTTGCCAGGCAGGCACTGTGCCACTGAGCTAAATCCCCAGCCCCTAACACACTCATTTCTGAGACACTCCAGACTCCATTTTCACTTCAAGACTAGTTTGGTTTGTTTTTTTTTTTTAGCACTAGGGAATGAACTTAGGGCTTCTGGCAGTACCAGGTAAGCACTCTACCTCCAAGCTACATCTTCAGCCCCCAAACCAATCCATAAATGAACTTGAGAAAATTCAAGCACTCTCACTGAGTGTGTTTATATATACTTACCAAATTGGGAATTCCAAACTTGTTGTTATAATTGTGACAAAAATTATTTGTTTATATAGTGCCACAAAAAAATCCTTGAATATATATACACAACAACAATAAAAAAAGATTAAGTTTATAACACGGGCAGTTTTTTATTCATCTGACTGGCAAAAATGGTCTATTCTCTTTTTTTCTTGATCTTTTTGAGACAGGGTTTCACTATGCAGTTCAGGCTGATCTTGAACTCACAGGCTGGTCTCAGACTCTCAATAATCCTCCTGCCTCCGCCTCCCAAGTGCTGGGATTACAGGCATGCGCCACCATGCCTGTCTGGCCTATTCTTGTTTTTGTTTTGCTTTGTTTTGTTTTTGGTACAGGGAATCGAACTCAGGACCTTGCACTTACCAGGCAGGCGCTTGTGCTGCTGAGCTATATCGCCAGCCCCTGGCCTATTCTTATATGGACGTTTGCTGAAACTCCCACAGTCCCTGTGAGAGGTGTCATTACCAAGCAACCAAGCCATTATTGTATCAACTATTATGCCAACTTAAATGAATTGGATAGGTAATTACAACCATAGGCAATTAGAGGAAAAAGAATATCACATTTTTAGGCAACTAAACTAGTCCCAAATATCAGTTTAAATTGTTTATAAAAATTGCTAATCCAGGCATGGTGGTGCACACCTGTAATCCCAGCTATGGGAAGACAGGCAGGAGAATAATCATGAGTTCAAAGCCAGCCTGAACTACATAGTGAATTCAAGTCCCACCTGTACTACACTGACCCTGTCTCAAAAAACAAAAATAAAAATAAAACCAAAAAATTGCTAGAATAATGTCATCTTTTGGGCCCAAAAGGGGGGAAACACTGTACATCTGATGCTAGTTAGAATAAAATAGAAGTGTCCTTGATACCAAGTATGACTCTGATTTCCTACCATTCATTCTCATTATTATTGGGAATTTTACTACTGTTTTAACCAAGGACCAGATTCCCTGCAAAAACTCAGTGACCAGGCTATCTGCCTATTCCCCACTTACCAATGGTGTATGGGTGCTCCATCGGGCATTTCGTTTGATAGCCCCAACCACAATGTTAATCTCCCCTTGAATGATGTAAATATTCTTATCCACCATCCTGACAAACCTACCAAAACAGATAAAAGTCTGATTAATATTTGGTTACCCAGACCACATCCATGCTTAAATCAGTTCCTGATAAGGGTAGAAGTGTAATTTAACTTTAATACCAAAATTTTTCATCTGTAATTATAAGATAGATAAATGAATTCCATCTTACATTATGATGCTAACTAACTGGCTCTCCTAGAGGTCTCTAGAAGTAGTTCAGAGCAGTTCAAGATACAACTCAAAAATTATCAATCCAAACAATTTCTCAAACACTCTCTAGCAGGTATGTCAGATTTTTCAAAGTCAATTGTTTTTTAAAAACCATGTAATACTTAATATTCAAAAAGATACAGAGTAATATCACAGCCAATACTCAGATTAACAGTGCAAATGAAGCTTCTCTGTATCCTCCCTGGTTATATCCTCCTCTCTCACCCATGAATCCTGCTATTATAAATCAATGGTTTTGAAGCTCTCATGTAGCTTTATACTCTTCCTTTATTGACAAGTATCTTTCAACAATATATAGTATTACCAGGCATGGTGGCACACGCCTGTGACTGCAGCACTTGGGAGGCTGAAGCAGGAGGATCACTGTGAGATCAAGGCCAGCCTGGGCTACAAAGTAAATTCAAGGCCAGCCTGAACTGCATAGTGAAACTTTGTCTCAAAAAAAACCAACCAACCAACCAATCAATCCATCAATAAAGCATTATTCTGTATGTTTTATATATAACATAGATTCTTCTGTAATTTGCTCCTTTCCCATGAAACGTTATATACTGTATCTGAGTCACCCATTTTGATACATATAGTTAACATATTTTGTACAGGTGCATATCCTGATATGAACATACAGACTAGAGGGTCTGGGCAGATGTACCCAAACTCATAACCATAGTTATCTCTAGAAAAGGTACTATGAAATCAAAATATGATCAGAAGATATTTTAGCCTTATGTTTTAATTTTTTACAGGAAGAATATATTACTGAATTAGTAAAACATCAATAATGATAAAGAGGTTAAGATAATTTCTGCTTCTGAGGCACGTATTCTATTTACTGAGGTCTGAGAGAACTAGAAGTTCATAGAATAGAAAACACAAACTGCAATTTAGAAAAAGTAAACTAAAAGTCCCTCTATTTGCTTATTTTGCATAAATGGAGCCCCCAGCAAGTAAAAACTATGAAAACCACTACAATAAAGAAAAAAAACTAGCATAAATTTAGTCAGGGTCCACAACACCTCCTCAACCTATAGGAAACATAAGACAACATTTATATTAATGACAATTTAAAGAAAGGACTGGATTGGTTCCCAAAGAATATTTGTTTTCCAAATAATCTAGAAGCATAAGCATGTTTTCTTCTGAGAATGTTCAATAATGAGAAAGTACAATGCACAACAAATGTTCTCTTCCGAGGAGAACCAAGAAATAAAAGGTAAATTTTTAAATGATTTAAGGTACCAGAAGAAAAAAGATCCTATTTTCCATAATACTTCCCCTCATGAAGCTATGCAGACAGGACGAACATGCTGTGCATCTCTGGGATGACTTGTAATGAATTACTAACAGAGGCTGCCTCCAAGGAAGAAACTGGGTGATGGGGAAAGGAGTGAGGAGGCTTACTTTTATCAATACATTCTTTCATACCTTTTGAATTTTGTGTCATAAATATATGTTTACCTATCTGCTATGGTTTGTGTCTAGACGCCCCCCTAAAACCTCATCTAGTCATTGGTGGGGCTTTTTGGAGGTGGCTGGATCTAGAGTATGTGATGGTGGGATCAAGGATTTGATGCTGGGATTAAGGGTGCGAGTGCTACCCGCCCGGATAGCCTATATAAAATATGAGAGAAGGAGGGCTGGTGCATCTCTGGGATGCTGGCCACTTGTTTGCTGCTTGCTGCCTTCTGTCTCTCCTGCTTTGCCATGAGCTGTTTCTTCTTTGTGGTGCCCCTCTGCCACACCACCCTGCCTTGGAGCCAGTCAACCATGGACTGAAACCTCTACAAATTGTGAGCCAAATAAACCTTTCCTTCTTTAACTTTGAGTGTCCGGTGTTTTGTCCCAGCAATAAGAAAAAGTAACTAAGACACTACCTTTAAATTTTAATTAACTGAGTTTTAAAAACTGAATAAGCTCTTTAGGAAAGTAGTTGTAATATTACATGTGCCAGTGATTAAAGGAGTAATGAAAGCTCACTGACAAACATTTACCTCATTCAGTCAGACATACATGGCATATGTTAAGCAAGAATTGTCCCTACCCAGCCACGAGATATTCCAAAAGGAATTTATAATCTACTGTATTAGGCGAATACAGACACATAAAAATAATATGCAGTACTACAATGGTGAAGTAAAGAAAATTATTTCCTGAGCCTGGCAGTGGCTTATGCCTATAATCTCAGCTCTCAGGAGGCTGACGCAGGAGGACTGTCTCCAGTTCAAGGCCAGCCTAGGCTATATTGTTGCGGGAAAATTGAGTCAACAGTAGCCAGGAGCTCAGCAGAAGAAAAGAGATTTTATTTAACACCAGCAGACCCCAGAGGAGTAGTCTCCAAAGTCTGAGGCCCTGATTATAGAAAGTTTGTCTTTTTCAATGGGATGACAAGCGGGAGTTACAAAAAAAAACCTAAGATAAGCATAGCTGAAGGCCATGGTATGCTGGGTATCTTGTAGTGAGCACAGCTGTATGCAGCAAAGTTGTTTTTAGTACATTCACAGAAGTTTCAATTTGATAACAAATCATATGATTTAGCTAGTTCAGTGGCAGAAAACACAATGGCTGCTGCTTTAATGGACAAAATGGCTGCAGCTAAGTCAGGATTTCTGCTTTAACAGCATAATGAGTTCAAGGCCAGCCTGAGTTACAGAGTGAGACCCTGTTTCAAATTAATCAGTCAATCAATCGACCAATCACTTCTAGGGAGGGCCTTGGAAAGGTAACTGAAAGACAGGATTTAAAGAGTCAAAAATACAAGGAGAGACTGGCAACAGTACAGTCTTGTAATGGAAAATTTCAGTACACAGTTAAGGAATCATGCTTATTCTAGATAGGAAGAAACACTCCAAGGGAGGTAAAGCTAAGAAAGCAAGTAAGAGACATAGTCAATGAAAGTTTTCAGTGTAGTAATCATCACTGTTAAAAATATTTGGGAACCTAGAAGGAGACATTATAAAGAATAAGAATAGAAATAAAAACAATAAGTTTTTCTTTAAAAGATCTAGGAGAGAGCTGGGCATGGTTTTATCAGAAATAAGATGAGAAGGAACAAGCAAATACATGCCAAAGAACACCTTGGGCCAGATAAGCCCCTGGGCTACAGACTCTGAGCCAGTGTGTTCTTTGAAAGCCCTGTTTATTTAAGGCTGGAAGTGGCCAGGCCCTCTCCTAGTGCTCTGCAGCATCCCAGTAACCATAGGGTCCAAAGAGAAGGACCTACTGTATCAACTGGCAGCTCCCTCATGATCTGAGAAGCAGGAGAAACAAAAACAATAAACTAGATCTTTACTTTATGGAGTACCAAAAATTCTATTTCTTATTAATTAGATTTAAATGTGAAAAAAAAACTTGAAAACTTTTAGAATATGTGGGAATACTTTGCTAAACCCAGGATATGGGAGAAGTACTTAAGCAGGAAATAAAAAATACACCCTTAAAAAAAAGCAAATTCAGTCATGTTAAAGATGTTTATTCAAAAGACATCATAAGAAAGGGCAACCTGCTCAGGACCCCTCCTGTCTCTCAGGATCTATTCCTTTTTCCCATCCCTTTTCTCCAATACATTTTCATACTCTTAAAAAGGGGGGCGGAGCAGGTGTGGTAATACAGGACTATAATCTTAGACCTGAGGAGGCAAAGAAAGGAGTATTGCAAGTTTAACACCAGCCTGGGCTGCATAGTGAGATCCTGTCTCAAAAAAAAAAAGCCAGGCATGGTGGCAAATGACTGTAATTCCAGCACTTGAGAGGCTGAGGCAGGATTGCCATGAGTTTAAGGCCAGCCTAGGCTACACAGTGAGTTCAAGGCCAGTTTGAACTACATAGCAAGACCTTTTTTTTTAAAAAAAGGTAAAAGTTAAGTCATAAACTGGGAGGAAACATTTGTAACATATAACTAATCAAGGACAAATAACCACACTAGTCAATAACTGCTACAAAAACTAAAATAAATAGATATGTAACCTATCACCAAAATTAGCTAGTGACAGAGAATAAGCAGTTCACAGAATATAAACAGCAAATAAACATGAAAAGATTATTAGCTTCATTAATGATCAAGAAAATAATAAATTAATGTTATAATGAAATATAGTTTATATTCCCCCTCCAAATTTTAAATCTGATAATACTAAGACCTGGTAAAAATGTAGACCAAGTGGCTAGCATCTATATATACTGACACAACCAATTTAAGTTTTGGGGGGGTTTGCTGTTGTTGTTTTATTTTTTTATTTTTTATTTTTTTTTTTTTGGTTTTTCTCCGGTACCGGGAACCAAACTCACGACCTTGCGCTTGCCAGGCAGGCGCTTTTGCCGCTGAGCTAAATCCCCAGCCCCCTGTTGTTGTTTTATTATTATTTTTTTCTTTCAAGACAAGATCTCATTATGTAACTCAGGTTGCCTTCAAACTCATGGTGATCCTCCTGCCTCAGCCTCCCAAGTGCTGGTATTACAGGCATGCACCACCACACTCAACTGATACAACTAATTTGGATAAATTCAGCATATCATGTTATAAAGTTCAGTCTATTTCTACCATAAATCTATGAGTATCTCAGGGAAAGAGATCATAACTTATTCACCTTTTTATCCCTAATACCTAAAACATAGTCACAAAAATGATTAATAAATGTTGAACAAATGAAAAAAATGGAATGAACAGTAAATTAACTAACATCAAGACTGATTCATCGGGGCTAGGAATTTAGCTCACTGGCAAAGCGCCTGCCTGGCAAGCGCAAGGTCGTGAGTTCGGTTCCCGGTACCGGAGAAAAACCAAAAAAATAAAAAAATAAAAATAAAAAGACTGATTCATCAAAAATGGTGCAACTCACATTTGCAAGAATCACTTCTTGTGAGAACAGTGACTTCCTAGAAGAATGACTCTTAAAGGAGCCAGGCAAATCTTTCTGTACCTCACATCTGTTTCTCTACCGGAAGTTGTAAACCTTCTGTGCAGGTCAGCCTACAGACAAAAAGAACCCATGCTGACCTACCAGCCAAATTGTGCTTCCTTTTCATTTCTATCTTTCCTGTATCTCCTGGGAGATATTGGGATATTGACATTTATTCTGTGAGGTCTATAATTCTTTATATAATTGACAATTCATATATATGTATATCTTTCTCCGGTTCTGAATGGCCATTATTAGTATGTTATTTATTTTCTTAATCACTTTTAAAAGTTGTCCTTATCCAATTAGCAAAGAGATTCTCCAAAGGCAAAGACTCAGGTTTCAAATAAATTCTCCAAAGGCTTTTATTTGTATTTGTTTGTTTTTGTTTTCTACTACAGAGCTGTGCAAACCAAGAAAGCTCTGATGGGCTTTCTAAGAGGGTAGGTGGTAACAAGAAGCTGAATGGCCCTCAGTGGGTCCTTCCAAGGTTCAAATTCACTCAATCCTTTAATAGTCCAGAGAAGCACTAATGATGCAGAGCATATAACATTTCCAGAGCTGGCCAAACAACCCCACATTTTTGTGCTTTATTCAGACTGACCCAGACTTACTTAACTAGTAAACAACTTATTGGCCTCAAGAAATTTACTCAAATCTGGAGGTAAGAGAACATCAAACCAGGAAAAAAAGACAAGGCACAACTGGAAAATCCTCTCAAACCTGCTAATCCGGTGACCAGTGCACCTCAGCTCTGCCATGCCATCTCCTCCCTCTGTGGAGATTCTGGGAGGATCGCCAGAACAATATGTAGGGTAAGACATTGATATGTCCCAAAGCTGCCCAAAGATCTTCCTTCTGTCATCTTGTAGATGAAAAAATGAAACGAAGCTTCCTATTACTCATCTTTTGACCACTCAGGACACCCAAACTATAAGGGTGACAGTTGGCACAGCAGGACAAAGGAAAAAAGCCTGCACAATTATGCATGGAGAACTGCAGCAATTAAGGCTCACAAAGCCTGCTCATTGGGCCGGGGATATAGCTCAGTGGCACAAGTGCCTGCCTCGAAAGCGTAAGGTCCTGAGTTCGACTCCTGGTACCAAAAAAAAAGCCTGCTCATCCCTCTTATGATGGGTGTTAATGCTGCCATGGCCATGATACAGTGATTGTGTCCAATCCACACACATACTTTGGCCTACAAAAGGTTTTAAAACTTGTAACTAATTTTCAACAATTAGAAAACATAATGAAATGGAATTCTAGCTTCTCTTAAAAAATAGCAAGACTGGTCATACTGTGTTAACATTCACAAAGAGGAACAATGTATTCAGTAAGTTGCAAACTGCCTCTTCTAAAAACCCACCTGGGTTCTCCAGTAAACCGCAGTCTGCAGTACATCCACTCCCTCCTAAGCCATTCACTGACAGCTGACCGTCTGAACTTGTAACCCGTTTATATGATGTCATCACAATTCCATAATCATTTGTAGTAGTACTGCTTCGACAATCACTTCTACTCCTACTGTAACATATCACTACTTCCATGATCATATCCACTACTTCTGAGGCTCCAGAGCAACACACTACCCTACTGAATTTTCCCTTAATTAAACAATTATAGGTGAATATACTGAAATACAGAAAAAGAGAAACAATGGAAGACGAACTACAGCCTACTACATTTACATAGTTCTTCCAGCCTGAAATAAGTAAAATGAATCTCTCCTCTCTTCAGCTCAACCCAAAATAACCCCAACAGCAGAATCATTCCAATCAGTCACATTGATTGACAAGGATAGAGTATGATCAATCAATTAGAAGAGGCATACAAAGGCTAAAATGATCTTCCTAGTGAGTGTTCTATGTTAGTGTCTCCTCAAAAGCAGGAGCTGCCTTTTTCCTCCCCAGATGCTGCACAGTAACCAGTCTAAGTATTCTCTCAATTAAGTCATTATTTAAAAGTGTCCATCATTCTGACTTCTAGAACACAGGGAAGTGAAATAGCAGTGGAACTCTGAGAACTGTGAGCTGAAACCACTGCTGGTGCCCAGCTACTGAGATATGACCACAGCTTGCGTTCCCACTGTGCTAACAAGTATCACTGTCAAGACTCCAAGGTACTTGGCCCTAGAGCCACCATAAAAAGCAGCTCAAATACAAGTCTTGAAGGAAGGACAACATTTTTGATTTATGGGTGTGTGGGAGTTACATCTATCTAGAAAATGACTTTTAGGGGACAAGGGAGTGCTGGGGATAGAACCCAGAGTCTTGCACATGCCACATAAATCTCCACCACTGAGCTACACCCTCAGCCTCAAAAATGACTTTTTAAGAAAATCTTTGATGCCTTTATAGTCACCCTCAGGCCCAAGTGAAAAGATGCTACATTGGTCACACTTATCCACCCCGAGACCATATTGGCTATATGCAAAGTACAATCAACTTGACACAACAATGGTTCAGATGAGCAAGGCAAGTCCATCAAATCTGGATACTTCCTGAGTAACTATATCATTTCTTTTCTTTTTCTTTTTTTTTTTTTTTTTTGGTCTTTTTGAGACAGGGTGTCACTATGTAGTTCAGGCTGGCCTTGGGCTAACTTTGTAGCTCAGACTGGCCTCGAACTCACAACAATCCTCCTGCCTCAGCCTCCTGAGTGCTAGGATTACAGGAATGCGCTACCATGCCCGGCTGACTATGTCATTTCATTTGCTATTCTCAGCTACTTTTTTGAAAATTCTACAATTTAGATCAGCAAGTTAAATTGTAAATCGTTTTCCATATCATGTCCTCTTTTTTTTGAGGGGGGGGCGTTGAGACAGGCTCTCACTATGTAGTTCACGCTGGCCTTGAGCTCACTAAGTAGCTCAGGCTGGCCTCAAACTCAGCAATCCTCCTGCCTCAGCCTCCCAAGTGCTGGGATTATAGGCATGCACCACTACACCCAGCTTTCCAGTGTCATTTCTATCCCACTTATTTAAAATCAATAAATATAAACTATAAATGCTATCCCTTCTGCTTCTAGCACACACATACACATTTAACACAATTTCAGGAGCTTTCCAGTAGCCAGGAGAAACTGAGCCAGGAACTAGCCAGGAGAAAGTGAGTTCAATCACTTTATCTTCCTAGATAATTTTCCCTTCCAACACCATGAGATTTTGATCCAATCGCTTCTTAGCCTTTTGGCTAAAATCAAGTGGAGATTTTCATCCTCCTGGTTATTACCTCACCATGCAAAAGTGCAGTATGCCTGACTGCAGGTCCAGAACTGTTTACATACTAAAACCAATCCCAGGTATACATATAATAAGTGTTATAGCCGGGGGTGGTGGCACACACCTGTAATCCCAGCACTCGGGAGGCTGAGGCAGGTGGATTGTTGTGAGTTCAAGGCCAGCTTGGGCTACAAAGTGAGCTCAAGGCCAGCCTGAACTGCACAGCAAGACCTTGTCTCAAAAAGATTTAAAAAAAAAGGGGGGGGGCTGGGGATATAGCTCAGTGGCACAAGTGCCTGGTCCTGAGTTCAACTCCCAGTACCGCAAAAAAAAAAAAAAGTGTTATCGCAGGATAACAGTTATTAAATGCCCACTACCTGCTGAAAAGCATTAGACTTACCCTACTTTTAACCTTACCACATCCTTGAGCTAGGGGACTGTGCATACAGAATCTGCAAAAAAAAAAAAAAAATGTATACACACTTCAAGAGAAGAAAAATAGTATGATGTCTTTTCAACAGTGTTACGCTCATATGGGAAACCCTAGAGGATATCATATACCATAGAAAACCCACTACTACACTGTGGCCCTTAGAGAAGAAATTAAAAATGCATGTGCAGCAATCTCAGTGACCAAGGTTACCCAAGCAGCAGTTTACCATACTAATAATGTCTGGAAGCTAATGGCCACCACTTTGACCACCTCTTGTAATTGAGAGGCCAAAGGTAACTTGCATTAATCTTACAATGTCTCAATAAATTTAGTATTAAAATATTTATTCTAGTTTTTCTTTTCCTGAAGTGTATATACATTTTTTGCCATACTCTGTACATGCTACTCCTTTTAAATAATGCATAACCTGCATGATTCCAAAGCAGATCTCTTCATGGATATCCTCCACAGGGCCTAGCGCAGTGCCTTTGTATACCTGGTATAAAGGCATACAAATTTCTCTATTGTGCATTTAAAAATATTATCTAATCCCTCCTCTCGAAAAGTACTCTTCACCTTCAGTGGACTTTTCTGGCCTCACAACACAGCAGTTTATCAAAGGTCATCATTCTGTAAACTACAATCTGGGGTTATGCTCCATCATTCATTCTGCCTCCCTGATCCTACCACAACTCGCCAATCATGTCTCACAACGCTTTCAACCCACTAAAAATAATTGGCCGAACACTGCCAGAATTTAAACCCCCCCTTTGGTCCCTGTCCAGTGTGTCAGTGGCTTCCTTGTGGTTAAAGCTCACCTCATCAGGCCATGGGAAAAGGCCTACGGGGAGACCCCAGCCCAAAACACACACCGGAAGAGGACACCTGCCAGCAACCGCGTAAAGGAAGAGACAGGCCCAGAAAGCAAGTCCCGTGTTTGCACACAGCCCCAGAGCTGCGGAAAAGCTGCCCCGCAAGAGAAGAACTTCCCACGGCCAGTTCCGCAGGCCGCTGGCCCGAGCCCTTCCGCGTCATCCTGCCGACCGCGCGGGCCAGGCTGCTCCGGCCCACGGCTCGGCACGAACGGGCCGAGCGGCTAGACCAGCAGGCACACGGCAGCGCTGCGGCGCCGGCGGAGACCCAGCTCCGAGGCCGGAAGCGGCCTGCACAGGGCACCTCCTGCGCTTTGCTCTTGGCCGGCGCACCGGGCTCCGCAGCATGCGGAAAGCTCCGGAAGCCCCGCGGAACTCGGGACGGGCCGGGACCCGCCGCCAGGCATCGCCTCCCGCCGCGGGCCGACCTCTGCCCCGCGCGCCTCCCAGGCCCCGCCCACCGCAGCCCGCTTCCGTCGTGCCGCCGCGCCCGCGTCCACAACCCACCCGGCGCGCCCCCTCGACGCTTCATCCCCCAGTTCCCGGCGTGGACGCCAGGGTGGCCTCCGCGGCGCTACGACTCCCGGAGCGGACTGGCGGACCTGTCAGCGGATCCAAGATGGCGGGGCCTAGTCCCAGGACCAGCGGCCGCGGCTCATGTCAGCTGCGCCCCCGCGGCGGCTCCCAGCGGCTACCCCGGCTCGGATGGCAGATGGGAGGCGGAGAGGAGTCCGCTTTCGGGAAGTGAAGGCTGAAGTCGGGACGGACTCGCACAGCTGGCCAGAATGGGTCGGCCGGGCCGGGCGGTGGAACCGGCTACCTTCCCTGTCAGCTCACTGACGTGGTAACTAGCCTCAGTCTAGCCCGCTGCCTAGTAACTACGCGAGCCCTGCCGCCCACAGCCAATCACAGCTTGGGACTGTGAAAAGTGGCATTCCACTTACCCAATCGAAGAAATGAATTGGCCCCAGGAGGCGGGAATGCCTGAAGAGGCGAGATTACCAGGGAAAGAAAAGAGTAGGTAGGGCATAACCAACGAATAAGAGAATTGTCTGAGTGACAGTTATAAAAGCCAATGAAAATAAGGAATTTTGCTGGGCGGTTGGAGAGGAGGAGTTACGTAGAGTTTGGTTGCAGCGCGCCGCTTGGCAGTGGCCGCTGGGCCTTGCGCGGAGGAAGGCTGTGATTTGCTGGAAGGGGGGCGGGGCATATTTTGAGAGCTTGAGCGGGCGCCCCTACTCCACCGCCCACACTCTTATCAATACTCCGCTCCTTGAGGGATTACCCCCTTTCGGGACAGCTCTAGGACCCCTTGATCCTAAATTCCGCTGAACTGTTTCACCCCCTGCTATCCCCGCCCTCTTGTCTACACGTCCCATTTTGACTTTTCATAGGTGTGACTGACCCATACCAGCTGTTTCTTGGTGTCTTCTGCCCCGTTCCTCCAGAACAAGAGAAAATGGGAGATGGTAGAAATCTTTGATATATAATTTAAGTCTCCTTATTTTATAGAACAGAAAGCTGAGTCCTAGCTAGTAAGTGGCAGAGTAGAGAGACAAACCAAGGTGTCCTCACCCCCAGCTCAGCTCTTTTCCACTGATTCGTGGTACCTGTTATGCCTTACTCTATCAAGTTATAACCCCCAACTCTGACCCTCATCTCAAGGCTTGAACACGCCTCACCAACCAGGAGCAAAGCTAATCACACAAGTTAGAACACATCACTATTGACACTAAAGCTAAGAGGTTGAGGGCTAGATATCCCCTTTTTTTTTTTAGACAGTCTAGTTCAGGCTGGCCTGGAACTCACTTTTTAGCACAGGCTGGCCTCGAACTCCCAGCAATCTTCCTAAAAAAACAAACCAACAAACTTTCCTGCCTCAGCTTGCAGATTGAATTGTGGAAATCCCCATCTGTCTGTTGAGTCGAACCCAGGTGTCCCTGTAGACAGGGAGAGGCTGTTGGGAGACAGTGAAAAATAACACCAGTTTTCACTGGGCTGCACATCCTAACATTTGGGAGGCAGAAGAATGGCTAAGACTTCAAGGCTAATCTGGGCTGCATAGTGAGTTCAACGCTAGTCTCAACTACACAGACTCTGTCTCAAAACAACAAAAGCAATAAAACCAAAAATAACAAAAACAGGAAAAGACGTCAATTCTCTCCACATTCCTCCAATTTATGGATAACTGTAGTCCAGGGAAGCTCCATACCTAACCCCGTAGGAATATATCCCAAAACCAATCATCCAAAATCATGTGTTAGGATCCTCTAATTTAAAGAACCATTCAGAGCTACCATCAGACCTGAAGAGCCCCCTCCACAGCTACCTGCATATCTGTTCATTGGGGTCCTGATCTCTGAGTCCAGCTAAGGATCTTGCTTCTTTCACACAGATAGTCAGGGGAAGAGGATCCATCACACCACATCATTTCACACTATCTTTCAGGCTTTGTCTTCATTTGAAAAGTGGGTATTGGTCTCCTGGGCCTGTCTCAGATTAAGAAGTCATGGAGAGGGCCAGGGATATGGCTCAGTGGTACAGTGGTCCTGAGTTCAATTCCTGATACCAAAAAAGTCATGGAGAGCTACTGAAACATCTTCTAAATGTATCAAAATTCCCTACCACTCTACCTTTCCATATGCCTCCAGAAATTCATCACTTTGAAAGCATGTGATTGTACATTAAAGATGGACAGGAGAGAGATAACAATTCACTAACCCCTACTAACTACTATCATCTTACAAATAAATCATCTTCCCCTTAGATTTCAGTATGATTTTTAAGTTAAAAAATTATTTTATTACTTGAGTATAAAGACAAATTTATGCCAGCAGGTAGAGGCTATTGATTACCCGTATTTTCAATGGAGGCTGGGTGGGAGGGGGGACTCACTTGGTCTTATATGATTGAGCCAGTGAATTTGGCTCTAATCAGAATCAGAAGGAATTTAGCACCCTTACCTTCTCTGCTCTTCTCAAAATGCTTTTGAACAGTAACCATTTTCTTAAGTAAATGGTAGACAGCCTCAGGAAGATGAGGAGCAAGTCCTTTGGACTTAAGGATTCTCAAGAGTTTATTGCTCATCACAAAACATACTTCCATAACCTTGTGTGAGTCTGCCAGGATAACATGAATGTGTGATGGAGTCAGACTTTTCTTGACCACTTTGTAAATCTGCTCCTTTACATTACCAGATATCACCTTCAGGCAAGTGGAGATGCCCAGAGCAGACTGGGACAGGTTCTCCCCAGAGCATGCATGCTGGGGTCAATCCAGCAGCAAAAACGAAAACCAACAACAACAACAAAGACCTGGGAGTATGCAATATTTATTGAGTTTCTACATTATGCCTAGAAACAGAAGGATGAAAAAGATGTAGTCAGTTGTACTCTTAAATCTCAGTCACATAGGGGGCCACTCATAAGCTGGACCCTGTAATGCAGCAGGTGAGAGAATAGAGCATGCACCCCAGGATCATGGGAGCGAGAGGCTAGACTCTGCCTAACCTGGGAATTTGGAAGACCTTCCCAAGAGAATGAGGTCTGAGTGGAACTTAGGAGGACAGAGAGGGGCTGGAAAGATTGATTACTGTCAGGAGGCTAGTGGTGTGCCACTAGGAGGCTGTATGAAGACAGGGTTGGCTCCTGAAGGTCAAGTATGCCAGACTAGGGCCTTGACTTTTTATCCTAAGTGGAATTAAGAACCTTTAAAGGGTTTTAAGCAGAGATGTGGGTGGTCAGATTCACTTTGGGAGCATATTTTGGCCGGGTTTAGGGTTCTCAGGAGCACCGGGCAACCTGGTCCAATGCTACATGTTCCTTGGACGTCTATCTTGTCCCTTGAAAATTCCTAATCAGCAAGCACCAAGGCCATGCCCTGCCCACAAGGCTGACCTGCTACCGGCCCTGTCGAAGCTGGGAGAGCACAGCCCAGGAAACGGAGGAAGGTACAAGAGAGATAGGGGGGGCAAAGGCCCACCCCTTTGGAAAGCACCAGCCCGGGTCCAAGGAACCCGCAGCTGCCCTGCCAATCGGGGTGGCAGTGAATTAAGTTAGCTGTCCAAGGTCAGCCGGCGAGGGCACAGGTAGTAGTGGGGTTGGAATCCCACTTTAGCTTGCCTCATTTCAAAGCCCGATTTTTTCACGAAGTCTCCTTCCATGGGGCAGGGGGTGGCGGGGTAGTCAACTTGAGAAGCAGGATAGATGAGGAAAAGGGCACAGAGAAAGAGAAATTGGTCTCTCAGAGTGGCAGAGGCAGGAGCAGAGAGGCAGAAAACAGGAGCAAGGCGGCGGAGAAGAGGAAAGAAAGGCAAGATGTGGGAAGATTGGAACGGAGACAAAAGGGCGGAGAGATGGACAGCGACAAGTGCAGAAAATCGGCGAAACTTGAGCGGCAGACAAGTCTGAGCCGGGAGAGCCGGCGGCCTCGCGCACATTCCCACCTGGCACCCCGGCAGCCCTCTCCCCCGGCACCGCCACGCTTGGCTCCGGGGAGCTGACGGGCCCCACTTCGCCGCCCGCGGGTCCTCCTGCTCGGCCGGCCACGCTACCCCACCGCTCCAGTCCGCTAGAGAGTTCCAGCTGGAGCCCCGGCCGCCCGGCCACGTGGGAGGGGCGTGGCCCAGCGGCCGGAGCTCGCTTCCGATTGGAAGGGGGGCGGGGTCCTTGGCGGCCGGCCCGCGGGACACCACCCCCGAAGGCGGGGCCTAGACTTTCACAGCTGGAAGGGGCGGGGCCGGGGCAGCGCAGCTGGAAGGGGGCGGGGCCTGAGGTGCGCGGCTCGGAGCGGCGGGCTGGGGGAGCCCTGGGCTGCCATAAAGTGAATGGGCGCCGGCGGGGGGTGGCAGTCAGCCGCGAGGCTCGCGCTCACCCCCGCGGGTCTGGGAGCGCCGGAGCGAAGTGGCCGCCCGGGAGCAGGGGGACAGCCCCCACCCCGGCCGGGTGCCTGGCCCCGGCCCCGCTTGCCCTCCAGACCGTCGCCGCCGCCCGGAGTCCGCCCGCCGCGGGACGCGCTGTGAGTGCTTGACCATGCCGGGGACAGGAGCGCGAGGGGCCGCGGGGCCCTGGCCGGTGCCGGGACCCCCAGAACGGAACCTGGGGCGTCTGAACTCCGGTACCTGGGGACGGGTGGACACGGGGAGGGCTCCTGCAAACCTGGGACCAGGACTTGGGAAAGGGGAGACTCGGGGTAGGGACCCGGAGACCGGGAAGGGGAAGACTCCCGGGACCGCGAGCGAAGCCGGAGGCGTGCAGCCGGGACCGGGGCCCCGCAAAGCAGGCAGTAGGCAAACGCAGCGGAGAGCTCCCGGAACCCGGGGCACGGGACAGGCTGCCCCGGGGACAGGGGCCGCAGAGGCCCCGGCCAGCTAGGGCCCGGCGGCGGGCGGCGGGCACAGGCCCTCGGCGGCGGCCGACACCCCGGCTCAAGCCCTGGCGGACTGGGGGCCGCCGACGGGCGCGCAAGTCGGCGCGCTTCCGTTCGCAGCTGCTCTGCAGTTGGAATAGGAGCTGGGTCCGGAGAGCCAGCAGGACTGGGTCAGATGGTCGCTGTGGGAGCCTCACAGCCGAGGCTGGAAGCCCAAAGTATCAAGCGAGGGCTGGTGGAGCCGGCTCGGGGTGCCAGGCTGGGTGGGTCTCGACCCGGGGCCACCTCGGAATCGGACGGAATGTCCGTGGCGCCCGGAGCTCAAAGCGGACAGTGTCCGCGGCGGTGAAGTGGTTCTCTCCGGAGCAGCAGCTCTGTCTGGCCGCGGTGAACAGAATGTCCCTGGCTGGGGGCATACCCATCCATCCGGCAGCGCCTCCCCGGCTACTGCGCGTGCGACGGGGTAGGCTGTGGTGGGTGAAATCCAGCTCACTCTTAGCAAACTCGCTTCTACGCCTCCCGGCTGCGGACTGGGGAGCCAGGGTGGGAGTAAAGGGCGCAGCCCCGGCCAGGGCAGGGTGGCTAGGGGACAGCCTCCCTCCAACTTGGAGTAGATGAGCGCATCACCCGGGACTTGCAGCCTGCACATTTGAGGAAGGAAATTTAATGACAGGACTGAGGGTGAGTCAAGACTAGGAAAGGAAAGGATGAGCCATAAAGAGCAGTAGGAGTGCAGTCGGGAGCCCAGCACAAAGCCCTGGCAGCCCCAGCTTCCTCACAAACTCAGAGCCGACCCCTCACTGCAGATACCCCAGACCCTGCCGCAGGCGCCGCGTGGAGGTTGTGGAGGTGGGGAGCCAGAGAGAACGCTGAGGCCGCTGGGCAAAGCAGACCCTACGCTAGTGTTTCTGGTTTGCTTCCACAGCCCACCAGGCTCCATACCACCCTGCTGCCTGTGAGGTGGGAAGGAGACACATGGAACCCAGGCCCTGCGTCCAACATGGAGCCGATCTGGTGCTCTGAGTCTGGTTGGGAATGGTGTCTCCACTGCCCTCTGCTTTCCCTGGCTGGGAGTGGGTTCTGCCTCCTCCGGCCTGTACAGTAACTGCCCACCCTAAGCTCAATTCTGACCACAGCCCAGTTAAGTTGAACAGGACAAGCTGGGCATGGAAGTGCACAGCTGTTCTCCCAGTTACTTGGGAGGCAGAGTCAGAAAACTTTCCAGCTGGGAGGCCAGCTCTGGGCAACTTAGCCTGACCCTCTGCAAAACAAAATAAAAAGGTCTAGGGATTAGTTCAGTGATACCTGGGATCTGTCCCTAGTACTTAAAAAAAAAAGTTGAAGAGGAAGAGTAGAGAGAACCTTCTGAGTCTCTGTAAGTGAGCTGGACAAGCTGGCCAGGGACTGGGTTTTCATGAGGACAAGTGCAAGGCGTTGTGTTTAGCAGTGAGTAATCTAAGCCACTCGGTCTCAACCTTCCTTACTCTCCACCCATAAGAAGCATACAGTACATTTTCCCAAGGTTCCCACCTCCGCTCCTGAAGTCTAGAGTTTGCTTAGACACTGGTTTGGTTTCTCCACCTTTTCTTGTTCCCGGCCCTCTTTTAATAAATACAGACTCACGTCCTAGTTACTGTCATCACATTCTGATACGCTTTGGGGGGGCATGTGCTCCCATTGCCTTTGAAGAATCACTGACGTTGTGGATGAAATGAAGGACTGGGAGCCAGGAAAGGGATAAAAAGGTATCGCAGATGTTTTCCTGAAGACTTTAGCCCCCAGATTTTGCTTTTGCCAAAAAGGCTAAAAAGAGATGGCACCATAGCAAAGACTATCAGAAACAAAAGACAGAACCTTCTTCTACTGTTGCGTAAGGCTATGTAGCTGAGCACATACCCTGTCCCCGGTTCTGTGGGAAAATGTTACAGGCCTGGAGAAGGGACAGAGGATGGGTGGCAGGACGGCAAACCATTGATGGCTGGAGAGAGCAAATTTCAAGGTTGCAGCCTCTGGAAGGTGAGACAGGATGCAAATCTACAGCAAAGAAAGACCTAGATCAGCAGGGGAGTGCACGAAGGGGCCTCACAGTTAAAGTCATGCGAGTTGAGGATGAGTAGGAAAACGTTCTCTGGCACACACGGGGCAGTCAGCCCCTAGAGTTCATGTCCAGAGAGGTGGTAGAGGCAGGAAGCAGCAGCAGAACCCTCCAGGGATTAGATCAGTGCACGTCTGTCGCACATGGCAGCAGGATGGAGGGGCCTTAGCCACTAAAGTATTGGGAAGAGCAAAAGAGGGTTTGGATATCTTCATTCCGTGTATCCTCAGACGATTTCCTCCCTTCTTGCGATGGCGCGGAGGTGGGCATTTCTGCCCTGTGGGACAGCTATGAGAGTTAAATTACTTACAGGAAGGCCCTTTGCAAGTGGAGAGGCACCAGAAGAAGGTTGATTGTTATTGTTCTGCCCACAGCGCGGGTCTCCTGTAACTAGAGGCTCTTTGGAAGGGTGGGCTCTTGGGCCCTTCGGCAGCCTGATGAGGTCCCTGATCCAGCCACTGGAAGGTCCTTGAGGACAGATGGGTCACCTACCCCAGGTTTCAGAGCCAGCCATTATCCCTGCCCCACACAAGAACCCGGGGGGACTCCCTAAATGCTTGACCTCTCTATCCGGCCAAATATCCTGACCTCATGACCTCTGCCAGCCTCCTGCTGAGTGGAGGCCCAGGAAGGGAAGGGAGGGGTGGAAGGCTGGAGCTGAGTTATGGTGAGAGAGGAACGGGACCAGGTGGAAGCTGTCCTTCCCCGTTCGCCAGTCTAAACAATGCCTGCCAGTGTGAGGAGGGAAATGACAGCTAAACTGACTTGGGGTATCTAGAGCGTCCATGGTCACTGACCGTGATCAGAGCAGTGGGGAGGAGAAGGAAGACAGTACAGTGAAAGCACCACAGAAAAGCAAAGAAATGATTTGCAAAACCCTCTCCAGCTCTCCTTTCGCATTTTCCTCCTGTACAAAACTCAGTTCACCTTTTCCCTTTCCTGCTTCTCCCTTGCCCTATCCATTTTGGTCACCATTGCCAAATAAGGGTCATGCAAATGCTGCTTTTTCTGTCACTCCTCTGCCTACAAGCCTTCAGTGGTGGGATTGGCACAGAAAGGGGAGGAGCAGGCTGAGTAGGGCCTGTCTTCCTGCTGTGATGTCATTTAAAGAATAGGGGTGTCTGTTTTGTTTTGTTTGTTTTTTTCCAGCACCAGGAATCGAACTCACAACCTTGCGCTTACCAGGCAGGTGCTGTGCCGCTGAGCTAAATTACCAGCCCAAGAATAGGGGTGTCTGTACCTCTCTTTGATATTAAAATAAATATGGCTAAAGTATGGCATAGAATGCAAAATTTGCTTGAATGGTAAAATCAAGTCAGAGGTAGGCATGGTGGCACACACCTGTGATCCCAGTACTTGGGAGGCTGAGGCAGGAGCATTGCCTGAGTTCAGGCCAGCCTGCACTACATAGTGAGACCTTGTGCAAAAAAACAAAAAAACTTCAAGTCAGAACTCTCAAAGAAATTTCAAACTAGTGGCAGCCATTTTAGGCCATTCTTCTACTATTGTTTTATTGGTTTTCGGGGCTTTTTGATGGAAAAGTTAGAAGTACTCCAGCCTAGGCTGTATCAAATCTAGACCAGCATCTCGTGTCCCTCTCAGAGGCCCCTCGCCTGAGCCACTTTTCTCTACTTGTGTTCCATGTATGCACCGAGACTGGCCAAGCGAGACTTCCCACTGCTCTGGGAACTTGCCGGCTCCTTCCCAGCCCTGTTGCAGGATTTACAAGGCCCTGGCCCGTCTGTCTGCAAATGCCCCCGGCAGCCTTGCAGCTACATTCTCAGAGTCCCCAACACTGGGTACCACCTGACATGGGCTCCCGTCTCTCCGGTCTCCCCCAGGCTAGTCAGACCCTGTACCCCAGGTTCCCATCTGTGCTCTGCCCCGCCCCGCAGTCAGCAAGTCAGAGTCCAGGCCTGACTCTCCGCGGGGCTTCTGCTCAGCACCTAACACTCGCTTAAGGGAAGAAGCAGGGAGGAGCCCTGCAAGGGACAGGTGCAGACTCCTTTCTCTGCTCCGCCCTCCGCCCCTGCACTGCTGCCTCCCTGGCTCCAGGTGTTTCACCCTAGCACTCTGACCAAATGTCTTCACTTGCTCCCATCTGCACCCCGCAGCTCGCACCCAGAGTGGGTGCCCGACGTCCCTGAGGACAGCAGGCTGTGCCCCTTGCAGGGCGCACTCTCGTCGCATGCTTGTCCCACGGTTCTGGACTGCGCAGGGCCTTGGCTTTTACTTCTGCTGCGCTCCAGGCGAGATGCATCACAGCGTCAGCCCCTCTTCACTCTGTCCACTCCTGCAAAAAAAAAGGTTTTCTCCCATTTAAGTTCCAGGTGCTTCTCTTGCCCTCAGCACTGGGGTTGCAAATCACCATGGGCTCTGAGAACGGCCTTGGTCGAACACTCCAGCCTCAGGATTCCAGTGGCCATTGTGAAGTTGCCCTCCTGCCTTCTTGCTATGAAGGCCAGTCTGGACTTCTCCCTAGGTCTGGGCTTGCCACCTGGGCCCAGCCGGGCCTGGGCCATGTGTCCCTGGCAGGGTGGTGCAGGCAGCCCCTCCCAGAGCCAGCCAGACTCACCAACATGGTTATCTCTGGCCCTGCCTGCTACCAGCACCAGCCAATCCTGCAGCTCCACACCTACAGCTGTCCCTCCCTACCCACTGAGTAAGGCACAGTCCCTGGCCTCGGGCCCAGTGGCCCAGCTTCCTGACCTCCAGCAGTTGGGGGAAGCTTCGTCGTCAGCCAGGCAGTCTGCAGCTCAGACGACACTCAGGACCCACAGCCTTTGCCCATCTGGCCCACCTGGACTCCGGTGGCTGGGCGCCTACGCCCCACCCTCACGTCTGGAGGTGCCTGCCCAGCTGTGGTTGTTTCCTCTCCCTGCAGTTTTGCAGTCAGGACCCTTCTCTCTGCTCTTAGCAACCCATGCAGGGGTCAAAATGCTTCACTGTCTCCCTGATCAGTCCCTACTCTCCAGAGCGGCTCCCGGTGTGGGTTGCCCGTTGTTCCCAGTGTGCCCACTGTTCAGGACAGAGCTCTGTACCCCTCTCTGAAACAGCACACTCAGCTTCCTCCGCCAGGAAAAGCCTCCCCCAGAGGATGGCGTCTGGGCAGAGAGAGGCTCCATCCTCAGGTAGAGTTTCATTGCTACCCATTTTGTCATGTTGTGTGTTATCTAAATCTTATAACAATGCTGAAGGCAAGTAGGGAGGGGATTATGGTTTATCACCCTTTTATGTTTTTATTTTATTTTTTATTTTTTGTCTTTTTGAGACAGGGTCTCACTATGCAGTTCAGGCTGGCCTTGAGCTCACTTTATAGCCCAGGCTGGCCTCAAACTTGCAACGATCCTCCTGTCTCAGCCTCCCAAGTGCTAGAATTACAGGCATGTGCCACCACGCCCGGGTCTATCTCCCTCTTAGAGATGAAAAGTCAAGTAACTTGCCAATGACACACAACTATTGTAGTAAGTTGGGGAATGAGGGCATAAACCTAGATCTTTTGATTCCAAACTTCTGCCAGGCATGGTGGTGCACACCTGTAATCCCAGTACTCAGGAAGCTGAAGCAGGAGGATGAGGCCAGCCTGGGCTACATATACTGTGAGTTCAAGGCTAACCTAGACTACATAGCAAGACCTTATCTCAAAAAAAAGGAAAAAAAAATCCCCAAAACCAAAAACAACAACCACAATGAAATGACCCTGATTCCTTTGGCCTATACCAGATTAGTGTTTAAGGAGGGTCAGAGCACTCTGCACCCCTCTATTCCCTAGCTCCAGTTCTCTCCTGCCTCTCCCCACTGGGCCAAGCAAGCTGCTCTCCCCAGGAGCCACCGGGAGCAGAACACTCCCTGCCCCTGGGCCTCCTCCTCCTCCCCCTCACAGAGCCCTAGCTCCTGGGACTGAGAACCAAGTTTCTGAGGGGCCAGAGAGGGGAGGAGGAGGGGAGCGGCTAACTCCAAAACAGCCCGGGCAGCTGTCCCTGTCACAGAGAGAGGAGACTGTGTGCCCGCGTGTCTGCCTGCCTGGATGTGGGAGCGCATGTGTGGGAGAGTGTGTGTTTGTGTGCCTCTAGCTCCAAGTGCTTATTGTGTCTGGGTGGGGGCTTGTGTGTCTGCACATGTGTCTGTCTGTCTCTGGGAACACACAGCCTGAACTCTGCTCTCTCAGCCTCGTCCTTACTCTGGCCCTCATCCCTCCTCACTCTGTCTCCCTCTGCGGAAATAGAGGATGAAATCAAGACCTAGGTATGGAATGCCGGGGGCAGGGGCGTTGGAAAAGCAGAAGTCTGGAGCCAAAGCAGACTGGAAGGATGAATGGTAATGGGGGGGACTTAGTTTTGCCCACAGGCAAAATCTACTGTCCCTTTTCTTCCCAGCTTAGGGGACCCCGGGATGAGTCGGGCATGGTTTGCGTTACAGGCCCCTTTGGGCCTGAAGGAAGAGCAGACTTCAGAGCCACTTTTCCAGCTCTCAGTCCAAAGCATTCCTCCCTCCTTTTCCCGGCTATTTGGGAAGAGCTGCCCATGGAGGCTGCCATTGCGCTGACTTTTCCAGCTCAGATCCAAAAAGGGAGGTGGGCTGAGCACACCTCCCTCTTGGCCTGACTTCTTTCCTGGGTCCCATCCAGCCCTTCTCCAACCCCAGCAAAAAGTCCAAGGTCAGACCCTACTGCCCAGCAAGGGCAGCCCTGCTTTGACCTCCGTCCCATGCTCAACCTGGCTTGGGTGGGGCACAGCTGTGATCTGGGAGCTGGCTGAAGGGGACATTACCATGTGCAAATACAGGCCGCTGCCCATCTGCACCTCCCGAGAAGATTCCTAATAAATTCCGAGCAGTCAAGTGACACACATCTCAATCTAGGCTAATCCATCACATTAATGCCACCCCACGAAGAAGCCTGCATTAAGCTCCTGTTAATGGGGAGGGGTGCTGGGCGCAGAGAGACCCCTCCCAGCCAGCGCTCTGGCCCAGCCTTATTTCCCTAGTCGCCTTCTGTTCTCCTCTGACCAAGAGGCATCAGGAGTCTTGAGCCTTCCCTCCCTCCCACTAGAGGGGTCCTGGGAACCAGCAAGAAAGGAGAACTACAGGCAACACCTGCAGAGGGACTGAGGCAGGCTCCTGGGAAGAGTCTGGCTAGGTGTGCACAGGGAGCAGGGACAGGAAGGGGGGTCTTATGGACGCTATGCCCACTGATTGGAGTGGGCTTGGAGGCGGCCAAGCAGGAGCTGGGTAGATTCCTGGTAGGATGGGGGATGTGTTTGGACAGGTGAAGGGGCAGACAGTGCCTGAGCATCTGGTTGTTTTCAAACTTCTTTTTGACCTTGGAACCCCTTATTCAAATGAAATCTCTTAGCTGGGAATGGCAGCACACCCCTGGAATCCCAGCACTCAGGAGGCTGAGGCAGGAGGATTGCTGTGAGTTCAAAGCCAGAAAAGCTGCTCTAGTTGAAATGCACCCAAACCAAGCCAGGCTGGACCACTAGCTGAATCCCTGAGGGGGCATCTGGACAGGGCCCCACAGAGGATAATTAGGAAAACAAAGGAAGAACAAGCGTTAGGAGTCCACAGACCTGGCTCAGAACCTAGCCACTGTTCACAAGCTGTATGATCTTAATCAAATTACAAGTCTCAGTTTCCTCACCTGTAAAAAAAGTAATACAGGCCAGGCACCCCCAGGCTGGAGGAAGCTCAGTGGTGGAGTGCCTAGCATGCAAAAGTGTGGCCTTGGGTTAGGCTCCGGGGTGGTGAGAGGCAAAAGTTTAAAAAGCAAAACAATTCAGGCATCCCCAATCTGAGATGCTTTGATATCTGAAACTTTGAGTGTCAAGCCCCAGCAAGTTTCAAATTTGGGGGGCTGGGGATTTAGCTCAGCGGCAAAGCGCCTGCCTGGCAAGCGCAAGGTCGTGAGTTCGGTTCCCGGTACCGGA